CCTTGAACACAATTCCCTTCCTTCTTTTGTCATATGGAAAAACAGTTGCTTGACAGTCCTAATTTTTACTCCTCTGTCAAGCTTAATTTACTGAATCCCCCAAGTAAATCCTGCAGTAAGTTTGTGTGACTTGCATAGTTGTTTTACACTGCCCTCAGCTGCTTAAAGGCTTATGGTCACAGCATGAGACAGGATTCTTTGCTGTCTTTTCCTGCAGAATTCAGCCTGTTTGTAAAGCCCTGAGTCTGCTGAAAGAACTGGGGGCTTTCAAATCCTTAACTCAGACTAACCTGGTGAAGTATGACCCCTCAAAGTATTGCCACAACCTGAGGAAGCTGGAGCCAGAGCTGGCCCATGCAGCTCCTGTATCCCAGCTCACCTGGAGCCTGGAAGGGGGAGATGACAGCGTGCCCAGGAAGCGGCCAGGGGAATTCCCTGGCACGAGGAAACCACCGGAGAAACGAAGGCAGCTGGGCAGAGAGGCCCTGAATGGAGCAGCTCTGTCCTCTGAGTGCCCATCAGGTCCCAAACACACAGACTCACCCCAGCTCAGCCACAGAGCAAAACCCAGACCTGGTGAGGAGTTGGAATTGCCTCCAGCAAAGAGACTGGATGGGAAAATATCTAAAAATGCTAATGGAGTTACAGCCAAAAATAATACCAGTGTTTCTGATAGTGACATTGATTCTGAAGAGGAGATCAGAGCAATGGTAAAGAAAGAGACAGAAAGACAGAAAGCTGAAAATGTGGAGACTGAAAATGAGCACTTGGAAATTGTTGGGGATAATTTTGAATTAAAATACAGTAGTCACTGGTCCTTAAACAATTTGGATGCTATGAAGAATGCTATCAAAGGAAGTAACAAAGAGAAAGAGAATGTGGAATGTGATAATGGTTATGATTCAGCAGATACAGATGAAATCATTGCTGAAAGTAAAACTCCAGAAGACTCTAAACAGGGGAAGGTGGAAAATAAAGAAGTATTAGCTAAAAAAAAAAGTGGTGTGGTAAATGGCTCCTCACTGAAACCTCGCAGTTTAAAAGAAGAACGCATTGAAAGAAAAGAGAAAATCAAGAAATCCAGAATGGCTGCCTTGCAGAGTACAGCAGCCAGCAGTACAACAGAGACGTGTGATAGTGACAGCTCTTCTTCAGAGTCTGAGAAAGGAGAGTCTGAAATCAGCTCTGATTATGAGTCTATGATGCAAAACTGTTACCGCTTAGACCTTACCCTGGATGACTTAAAAGCATTGGCTACAGAAAACACTGGGACACCTGCAGAGTGGTCAGGCAGTGAACAGAGTCCTTGTCAGTCCAGTGTTGAAGATAATCCCAAGGATAATACTGTAAATAAATCAAAACCACCTAAATTTCACCCTGCAGTTAAAAAAAAAACCATCTGTCCCGAAGATGTGCTGGCTGATATTCTAGCAGGGGAGGAGGATGCTGTTGAGGAAAGCTCCAAGGGACAGAATAATTCACATTTGAAATATCAGCCCTTCAGAGGAATGGGGTCCCTTTGTGTAAAAGAGTTAAGTAAGGACAGCACTGGCTTAAAGAAGAAGTCTGTAGAAAGCTTGGGAGTTGAAGCTTGTACATCTTATTTTGGGGAGGAGTCGTCTAAAAATCAGCCAAAGAACCATCCCTTGTGTTCACTTGAAGTCAGCAACAAAAAGAGACACAAAATGCCTTTTGAACAGCATGAGGAGCTGTCAGCTGCTGCCTCCTCAGCAGGTCAGAGACTTCAGCCTGGTTCCAGGCCTCATTTGCAAGGGAAGAACAAAGGTGTGAGTTCTCTACAAGACCAAAATTTGGAGCACAGAGCTGCTGCTGCTAGTACTGATCATGGTGATGGGAGCAGTGGCACGGACAGTGATGCTGCAGGGGCCCAGGAGCACGTTAAACAGCAGCTGAAGAGCCCAAAACTGCTTTCCAAAACATTAAAGAGGAATACGAGCAAAAAAACCCCAGAATATGAAGGTAATAAAGGTGGGAATGGGAACACAAGCCTTCTGGAAGATAAGGAGCTTTGTCTTCGAGCTGCTGCCTCAAAGGAGCCCAGTACAATAGAGAAACAGCTCCAGGACAACCAGAGGAGACTGGCAGCTCTGGAAGAGAGACAGAGAGAGAGGGAATTACAGAAGAAACTCATTCAAGGAGCCCTTTCAAATCTGGTAATTACAACTTCTACTTGAATAGTACACAATACAAGGAAGAGGGTAATTAATACATGTGGAATAAAATGTTTTAAAATCATAATCTGGAATCTCTAATGACATTGCCAGTTTTATTTTCAGAGTATGCAAAATGCTGCATACCTCCTCTCTGGAATACCAGTAGAGTTGCAAGAGGAATAGCAGGTTCCTCTTTTTGTGTCATGAAAACATCTTTCAGATAGTCGTGTCTGAGCACAGCAGGTACTGGATGTGTTTGACTGACAGTTGACTCTTCCCTAGGACAGGCAGCCAGCAGGACAGCACAAACACATCATATTCGATTCCGATGTGGAAGACAAAGCTGAAGTGGATGAGATGTTGAAAAAGGATGCAAGTCTGGGAAATGGGCATGGAGAAGTAAGTGTTACTGGGAAAAAAATCAGTATGACATAATCAGAAAGTTGAATTTTTATACCAAACTATCTCATATTGTAACACCTGAGTTTTCCTTTGCATGGGTATTTTGCCTGTGGTAAAACTGAATAGTCGTAACTGTAAAGCAGAATTGTACAAGGTGTGTGGACAAGGTAAGATTTGAAGCACATGGATCAGGAAGGGAGCTGGTTGTGCAAGAAATCTGCTTTTTCAGCTAAACTGGAGAGCACATGAACAAAGTTGGTACTGTTTTACATCCTCAAACTTATGTGAACAAATGCTTTTCTCTTTTTTTCTGTTGGTGTAACAAAGGATAAGTCAGCTGCCAAACCTTCGGGCAGACTGTTTGAGAGCAGTGAGGATGAGCAAGAGGATACGGATGATGAGCGTTTCAAAATTAAGCCGCAGTTTGAAGGCAAAGCTGGTGAAAAAGTGAGTGAAGCCATTACTGTAATTTAGTTTTCCTCTAGGTCTCCATAGCACCACTTCAGAAGAATATAACCTGTGTCTTTTCATTCTTGCTGAATATGATTTTTATGAACTTAAAACAGAATTCCCTTAAAGAAAGGACATAATGTGTGGTGGGGAGTGGGAGGAGTTTCTCTGACATTGTCATCTTCATAAAAAAAGAAATGGCTGGAAAAGGCATCAAAGGCTAAACATAAAGAGTATGTTGCCATTGTTATAGTAAAAAAAAAAAGTTACTGAATTATTATTTTCTTCTCCAGTGCTTAATAGCGTCTGTTTCATTTGTTCAGCTCCTGCAGATGCAATCTCGCTTTGGCACTGATGAAAGGTTCCGCATGGATGCTCGATTCCTTGAGAGTGACAGTGAGGAAGAAGGTAAAGCTGATCACATTTCCTGGTTACTGGTGGCCATAGAGCCTTCCAACAGCCTTTATTGCTTTACTGGGATCCTGTGTAGAGCATCTGTCAGTGGTAGGGGGGTTGCACAGTTGTGTGATATAATCAGGGAATGGGTTAAATAAGTGCTCTGACTTTTCCATGAAAAAGATGCCTGTGACATTTCTAATGAAGGGTTTCCTACAGTGCAAGGCAGAAAACCTTCAAGTAGCTTCAAGATAAAAGGAAGTGATGGGTTCATAGATGTGAGCTCTTCTAATACTGTCGTAGATGTTATGCATCCCACATTACAGGCTTAGCAGAGTAAATCGAATGTATTTATTTTTCTCTTAGCAGAGACAAACAGCCTGAAGGCAGATGAAGAAGAGGAGCTTGCTGCAGAGAAAAAGAAAAATCTGCAAATACTGGGAAGCCTCCTGAATATCAACCTGGAGCAGCCCAAGCCAAATAAAACAGTCACAAGTGTGAAGAAATTCAAGTATGAATCATCCACTATCAGTAAAGGAGGTTTAGGAAGGCTTAGGAAGGAAGCTGAAAGACCCTGAAATCTTTGAATTTTGGAAGATGGGCATAAAGGGTTCTTGTGTGTTGTTTTGGGTTTTTTGCTCCTTTGGACTATTTGAATTTATGCAGTGTTTGGTACTAGAAGAAATATATCCACATCTGTATGGATAGCTGTATTTATGTAGCTCCTCAAGTGATTATCAGGTGAAGGTATAAATTCACTGCATAACACACAAGTGAGGGCTATGCTTTATCAGAAAGATCACAATTTCATTAAATCCACTTCTCCTTATATGTTTCCTGACCCAGACACTGACTAGAGGGTGCTTTCTAACTGCCAGTTATATTTTGGATCGATTTAGACATTGTTTGGTAAAGGAACTAATGTGAATCTTGCTCTGACTGTGAAATTTTAAGGTAGCTTTCATTTTGGCATTTAGATTGTACACTGGTGTTTCTTTTCCTTTCTATTTTATAGAGATATTAATGCCCTCCGTTATGATCCAACAAGAGAGGACCACGCAGTTTTTGAAAGGAAACCAAGTGCTACAGAAAAGGAGAGGTAGTATTACAGTTTGCTAACTGCAGTTGTGTTTCTTCCCATGGAAAAATGGTTATAGCAACAGATGGAGTTTCAAACTATGTAGATTGACCTGATTCTAATTTAGTTCTCTCTCTGGTTGCTAAAATCAAGATATAATAGAAGTTGTGACATCTAAAACCAGCATGTACTGTCATCTTTCTTTCTAGTCCATCTGTTTGCTGTATTCCATTTTCTGTCCTCAATGAAGGTCAGAAAGGTCAATTCAGGGACCTTGAGATTTGCAGGTCTGTGAGAAAAGCTTAAGAAATCTGTGCTAAAGATGGATCAGATCAAGAAATCTGTGCTACCTTGATTTCTGTGTAACCATGTATTCAGTGACAAGTTCTATTATGATATTGCTGCTGATTTGAAAGACTTGTTTGGACCTTCAAAGAACAAAGCGGAAAAGACTGTGGCAATACCCTGGGACAAAGAGGATGCACAGGACTCTGCCCCAGATTTTTCTATTTCTTTCCCTTTTAAAATTTTTCTGGAATTCAGTGATGAGGAAAAAATGCTGCCTAGTTAGGAATGTTTTCTAGTCAAAATTTACCACCCTTACTTGTGGCAAAAATAGTGGTATTATCCCCTGAGCAAGTCCTGGTAAAATAAAGGTCAAGCGATCTCTGGCTTTCTTTTCTTTCAGATAATTGGCTAATGAGAATCTGGACCTTTAAAGCTCATGAAAAAAAAATAGTCACTTGACAGGTTTCCTAGACAGTTTGGTTCCTTACAGGCATATCTTAGTGACTTGCAATCTCCCAGCCTGTCTGATTTACAGGCTGTGTTGAAAGGGAGAGCTCAGTCCTCAGCAGGCCTCAGTGCTGGGGGAAGATGTGGGGTCCTGGTGCTGAGCCAGGAATGGACCGGCTGCTATTTCACTGCAATTGAGATTGCAGCATGTTGAGGAGAACTGCTGCTGCCTGTCATTGTTCTTAGTACCCCAGGCTGCAGTAGGGAACATTTCTGTGGGAGCCAAGGTGTGGCGGGGGGCAGGAGATCGGGAAGGATGTGAAGAATTGATTTCTGACTTTATTACTGTGTTGTTCACGATTGTTAGAAGCAGCAGCACAATCAGAAGTGTTTAACCCTATTAACTGGTTGTTTGTTTTGTGCAGCGGAGCCAAAGTTATTTTGTAGATTACTAGAGTTCAGTGAAGAGAAAGAGGGTTAGGAAGACAGACGTAGATTATTGCTTGAGGTGAGTATGGAACGTCTGTTCCCTGGTAGCTCTAGGCGAAAGCTGAGCATGGGGTGGGAATGCAGGTATGCATGTGCATGCAAAATTAATTTGGGACCTCAAGAAGAGCTTGAAACTTTGCAAATACCAGGGAACAAATGGTTTTTAGTGTACCAGTGTGTATAACACCCTGTTGTATTATCCAGTCAGGTAAACCACTACATCTCTGTATGTTACAGGAGCAGCTGCTTAACTACATGTACAGTATATATTTAAGAGATACAGTAAATTTGGAGACATCTCCTAATACTATGTTGGATATTCACTGTTTTCAGGAATGCAGGAAGAAGCACAAGGATGCCAGAAGAAAAGTAAAAGCAAAACAATAAAGTTTCACTCCAAGCTTTTTGTTTTTGTTCCTTGAAGGAGCTGCCAAACA